AGTAAATATGTAGTGTTTGCTGGGACATGCATAGCATGGGTCCATTGGCTAATAAAATTTTTAAGTTAGAGATTCAAAATTCTTTTCTAGACTACGTCTGTAGAATCTAGTTTGGATTTATTTTTAAAAAGTTGTCTTTAATTTCTTACCCTTAATACAACAATGGGAAGTCAAGATCATGATAAAAGTAGAAAATATGAATTTGGATCTTTGAAAAGAAATTGGTGTAATGCTTTTCTAAACTCACTGACACATTTGATAGGATATATGAGTAAATATTTGATTCTGGTAATAATGATAGTGAAAAATGTGCAAATAATCTAATAGAGTATGATAAATATTGCAAAAGCAAGAGTGAAATTTCGTAAGTGTTTCTAGTAACTCAGTGGAATGTGCGGATTTGGATACGGTTGTAAGTGCTAATTCTATTTCTTAAGCAGAAATAGTTGATAATATTGAAGGTGAGTTTGTTTTCTTTACCAATTTAGATGATCCTGGTGAATGGGTTTTGCCATTAAATGATAATTAGGTATCTAATGTTATTCAAAAAGGCCCAATTCACATCTTCAGAGAAAATTATGACTTTGCTATAGATGATAAAAAAAGAAATTTTAATTCATATTATTATAAACATTATTTTAAGTAATGGTGAAAAGCATGATTGACATTAGTTGATGTATTCTCAAAGTAAAGATTGTATGCAATTTTGCTTTCCTTGTTATTTATTTTCAAAATTAGAAATAAGGATTGCCCTTACTTCTGAAGATTCTTCAAACTGAAAAAACCTGAGTTAGATTTTCAAATCACATTAAAATAATAAAGAACATAAAGAATATGTGATGAAATAGCTAGACTTTGAAAAGTGACTAAATAGTGAAAATACAAATGACAAACATCTACAAACTCAAATGGAACTAGAGAAACAACAGTGGAGAAATATTTTAGAAAGACTCCTTTCTATATAGGATGTTGGAAGAGTGTGAAACTATAGGCACTTCAATGAATTTTACGGAATTAACAGCAGGATTAACTCAACCTTCACATATTTTGACAGTGCCATAATCAGTCATGTATCTGTAATTAAGAAAAACTGCAAATTACATATGGTTTTAGACTTTTTGGACATACTGTAGGGCAGTTTTGGCATCACATAATTTAACCTTTCGTGGTACTCAAGAGCATGATATGAATGACCTGTTAAAAATTGTGGCAATTTCTTTGGACTGGGTAAATTTGACTCAGTCATGCATGAACATTTAGGTTGTATCATGAGACATTACATACACACTTATTACCTCAGTAAAACCATTCAAAACTAAATAACTGATTTAATGGCTAAAAAAGTGAAAGGTAAGATGTTAGAGAAAGTGATGGAGGCAAGATATTATGCATTTATTTTGAAGTGTACAAGAGATGTGAGTCATATTGAAGAAATGACAATATTGTGGTATGTCAATTACAATACTGGGGAAATTGAAGAGCTTTTTATTGTTGTTGTTTTTTTTGTGAGTGTTAGAAACAACAGGAATAGGTATAACTATTCTCATTTTGGCAGAAATAGAAAACTTTGACTTGAACATCCAAGATTGTTTTGGACAAGACTATGATAACAGTGCAAATATGCATGGTGAAAAGAATAGTGAAAAAAGTAAGAAAACTTCAAGTCAATCCACAAGTTTTCTTTTGTCCCTGTAGCTGTCGTAGTTGGAATTTGACCTTAAGAGATGCTGCTTCACTTTGTACAAAGAATGAAATGTTTTTGGTTTACGTCAAAGGCATTATACTTTATTCTCAGCATCTTCAAGCACATGGCATGTATTAAAAGGAAAAGTCAATATTACCCTCAAACCACTTTTAGAAACTAGATTCCTGGGAGTCCTGCATAGTTAGTGTAAAAGACAAAACCTTCAGCACATGTCACAGCCATGATTAAAAATCTCAACTTTAGAGCTATATAGGAGAAACAAGTGTGAGAATGTAGACTTGCCTTGGTTCAGACATTCAAAGTACAACATGTACAAGTTCTTGTAAATGTAATTTGAGACATTGTAAGAATAAAGCCTTTGAAGAAAAAGGCTGTTTAAATATTCCTGAGCCAAACATAAGCCATGCACACTTTCAGAGTAGAAGCTTTGTTGATAAGCAACAGTTTTAAATTGAATTGCATACTTAAAACCAACATAAAGAAGAGATTTTGCTCTTGAAGGTTGTTACTGTAACAAGAAACATATTTATGCATCCATTTACAAATGGGGAGAATGAATCTTAGTCCACTGTTGAAAGCAGGATCCCTAACATTTTGCTTTACTTTCTCATCTTATACATATTAGATTGATAGACAATTCAATTGCATTTAGGTTTTCACTTATATATTTTAGTTAATATTTGAAAAGTTTAATGCTTTTTTTAAGATTACTTATTCTTCTCCTATCTCATCAATATTTCTAAACACAAGATGTGTGCAAAACATTTAGCTCATGGCTAACATGTCTCTCTCGAACAGTAGGTAATAATAACCAGTAGCACCATGTGATGTTTTGACATAAATATTAAAAATACAAATAATTGGAAAGGAAAATTAAAAATAAACTAAGCGAAAAGATAGACATGAAATTATGCATATGACACAAATAAGATATTTGAAGACTATTCTATGAAGAGTTAAAAGGTATACATATATTTTCATTTAAATATTTCATTGCACTGTCTTTTGATGATAATAGCTAGAGTTAGCAATATGGTAGAGAAAATGGAAAATAAAATATAAGCATTTTTGCTATTCATTTAGGAGGTTCTAAAGATTATGCAAAGGAAATATGAATACTGTACAATAATAAATAGTATTTTTATACTCAAAATAAAAATTATCTTGCATGTGAGCTATTCAGAGTGCGAGTGCAAATAACTATATTAAATAACGAATCTTTAAAATAGTAGAAAAAATAGAAATTATATATTTTATTTTTCTGAAATTGCATACTTCTAGGAAAGATCATGTTAGATTTCAAACAATTTCATACACTAGGTTCATTTTTGGAAAGAACTTTCATGTGAGTTATATAACGTACTTGCAAAACATGTAGGTTGTCATCATAGGATAAAAGTTCATCATATTTGGATATATGAGACAAAAGTGCTAACTTGGAAATTTCTAATAGTTTACATCAATTTACAGTTGTATTAGTAAAGTATTGTGATAATGGGCCATGGTTGTTTTGTTAGAACATGAACTTTAGCTATTAGGTATGTGACTTACCTTTTTTTTTTTCAGTAATATGTTGTTTTAGATTCATAAAATGAAGTTATACATACCTGTTTGGATTGTATAGTGCAAGTGACCACTTAATATTTCTTAGTACAAAAGTAGCCTGTAGTATGAATTTTGATACTCATGAAAATATTATTTATTTTATTATTTAATTTTTTAAGTATTTGACATTTAATGCTGTAAAAACATTATTGTGTACAGAAAGACAATGAATAAGTAATTATATTCGTACTTGGTAATATGTATGGTTTATTTTATTTGTACATTATTCATAACAATTTGGGCTGAGCATGGTAATTTGTGGACCTTAGGTTCCATTACCACTAAAAACAAAAATGTGATCTGCACTTTGAATTTGTGGGTCTGTTATAAGAGTGGTAGTCATATTCCACTATTTGATGAGATTGGCTCAAAAGTTGGTTATGAGAGGTGTTGATTAGCTGCCTTCTCTCTGTTATTTTAGGTTGACTAGAGTGGATAACCCCCAAGTAGCTTTTGCAAAATTCAGTAAACAAACATAAAAATTTAATTAACCAAAACGTTTTGTTTTCAAAATCTGAATGTACATTACTACATTTTTACTAATAGTTTAAAGATCTTAAGGCAAGCTACAGAGTTTTTGCTGTGCTTAGTATAAAAGACTTAGAAATTTAAAGTATGTCAGTTGTTTTATGCTAACCATAGCACTTTTAATTCCTTTTAAAAATTAATGTTGACCATATCAACCAAGCAACTTATAGCTTTTATCTAACCTCATTCACTTTACTGGTATTTCTGTTTGTTTCAGTTAATACAATTTATTAGTAAGGGAATATCCACCTTGTATCATTAACCATTGTAACATCTTTTTTTTTTACGATGCTGGTATAGTGTTGAATCCTATTACAATCTTCCCAAAAATGGATTGTCTATTAAAATTTGTGTCTCAAAATTTCTGAAAGTCCTTTATGTATTTGCTTATCATGTGTGTCATTTACCCATAATACTTCACTCTCCCACCTTCTACATGACATTGCACATGTACCAGTGGAACTTACATAAGCTCTACTTCCCACCATAAGTTAAATATTTTTGTTGACAAACATGATGTTCACAGTGCTACAACATTATTTCTTATGACTATTTTTATTGGATATAGTGCCTTCATTAGAAGCCTTGTGCATTTTGTTTGTAACATGCAAGTTGATGCATTCTCAGCATTGATAATTCCACATCATCCTGCTATTGAATACTGATATTATGATAGATATACCATTTATGGGTATGCTTCACCTGCATAACACTCAATTTTTCTTGGTTTGATGAAGGCCAATTTTACTTGGGCCTCACTGCGTTCTGTGTCTGCAAAGCTTATTTTGTCTGCTACAATGTGTGCCCTAATCTTGAACACTTGCCTGTCCCAATTTATTTTGCTGTCGGATATGTTCTGTATTTTTACTATGTAACATATTTCTGTTATGCCTGAGCTTGTGTCATGTGTGAGGATTTCCTTATATGAATTTTTATTTCTCCCACCTTCTCATGATTTTGTGGTCAGAGATAGTTTTCAGAAATAGTTCTGTATTCATATTGCATGCCATGCTTTGGTTTGTTTTAAGATTTTTTTTCACTAGGGCAGTGGTAAGTTTCTAGACCTCCAACTTTAAAATCCAGGGTTGGGTTACCCATGATGGATAGAGTGTGGATAGCCTATTGTGTAACTTTGCAATCAAACATATAATGAAATTTTTAGGTAGCCTAGCATTCATGGATCTTTATGACTCACTCATTGACTCTGTTCTGGATTACTCTTCATATGGACTTTTGGAGTCATCTCGGAATTTTATTTATCTGTGGACCCTTAACTTCACATGTCTTAGGTTCATCAGATTCTTCACTTTATTTTCCTTATTCATGATTCACCTCTTCCAGTTTCTGTTCGACTTTGCATCTGAAGGTGAGTAGAGTGTGAAAGATTAAATAAAATATAATTACCTAAATTGAGAGTAAAAGTTCAGTAGCTGTTTGCTGGTTTTTAATTTAGGCTTCATTTGAAAGACAGTTCAAGCATTTTTCAGTATGTATTAGGTGAATGTGATGTGGTCCCAACCCTCAGTATGTTCAAAGTAATTGGTAAAGCCATAAACAAGACTATTCTACAGGGGAAAGAGACATTTCTAATCTTTTAATCAAAGCCTAGATTAAAGAGTCAGCAAACAGCTACTGAACTTTTACTTGCAATTTAGTTATTGAGGTTGTACTTGATTTTATCTTTGGGTTTTACTCTCATCTCTTTTGATACCATTGAAAACAGGATATTAGAGACTGGTAATAAATTTTTAGTTTCCTTTGTTATTCTGATAGTTCTCATTTGAAAATGTAAGCTATGTTGAATCTCATGATACCAAGGTTTCAGAATGTGAATGACAAATGGAATTTTAAGTGACTTTTATTTACATGTAATGAATGACCAATTTTCATTCTCACACGATGGAGTGATTTATTCATTTGTAACTGTCACTTTTGGTCTGGGTTAGGTGCTCTATGTATTCACATCTTAATTTGGTCTCATTCATGATGTTAGAAAAACATGTATGTTCAAGAAGTCTTGATAGAAATGAATAAAACCCCTATAACCCGAGAGCTTTCGAAAGGTGGACCTTTCAAAAGCACTCGGGTTAAAGGGTTTTTATTCATTAATTTAGTCTCATATATACATTCAATATCAATTGTCATTTTTACTTGCATGATGTTCCTGACTACATTAACCATAGATTTCAGGTGTGTCTTTGGCATCCTGGTTTCTGTACCTTTTAGAGGGCAATGTACAAGTGGGCAGAATGTGATGAATCTGACTAATTTATGCTATTTTTCTTCCCCATATTACATTCTTCTCCAGACTGGATGCAATCCAACTCTGTTGAATTTTTGGATTTTCTGACCAATACCTGTGATTACCCATTTCTCTAGTGCCTGGGATTTTGAATAATTGTGACTTACCAACAAACAGTAATAAAGCGTAGTTCCTTCTAATCTAACAGTAATCTGTATTCATATTAATTTGTCTAGTCAGTACTCTCATGCGGTCTTTTCACTGACACATGCACAATAAGTTATATGGAAGGTGTAAGTGTGGAGTAGCTTTGGTAAGTAATGTATATTGTATGGAAATATATAAACGACATTTGGAAATTTTGAGTTTCAGTGTTTCAGAGGAAAGTATCTGTTTGAAAATCACTTTAGTTTTAAAAAAACATAAAAATTTCTTTACATTTACACTGACATAAAATGTTTAGTATTTTGATTTTCCTGTGATCTTGTACAGTTCTGTTATAAGCCAGTGACATAACCTGTTTTTTAAAAACCAAGAAAACAAATAAAAACAGTTTAGAACACCAAAGGTCTTTCTATTTAGATATAAAGCTTTGTGTGTGTGTAAAACAATAAAAAAGCTTTGCTGCAAGTTATAAATACAAAAAATTATTTTTAATGATGAATTGTAATCTAAATGATATAATTCAAGCAAACTATGACTTTGTACAAAAAGGACTGTATTATTGAAACAATAAATATAGAACATTGAAGAACTAGAGAGTATTAGAAACTGAAGTATTTAACTTGAATGTGACAGAAAAAACCTACAAAACTCTAGTTCTAGAAACTTCTACACTGGTTTGTTTTATCCCTGTTTGTTATGTTTATCAATGTCAAAACTTTTGTCTACTTTCAGTGATATGTACTTCATTCACAGAATCAACAGATAATTCCACATTATGCAGTTCTAACAGTAATGATGATCTGTTCCACAAAATCTGGGATGTTGATCTGACTGTTCCCTTCTTTCTTCTCGTCATGATCTTTCCTGTAATTAACTTGAAGTCACCCACTTTCTTCACAAAGTTTAATGCTCTTGGTATGTTAGATATTTACTGAAAGCTAAATCTGAATTCCCTAATGATATAAGTTTATGATATGGTATTTGTAGTAAACAAACTCACAAAGTCAGAAATCCCTAATTATTTACAACAATGTTATGGTATAATATTTATAGAAAATTTACTTATTAAGTAAGAAATCTCTTATTATCTACCACCATGTAGTATTTATAATAAATTAACCTACTGTGCCAAAATCTTCTGTATTTACAACTATCTTGTAGTATGGTATGTATAGTAAATCAGCTTACTAAGTCAAAATCTCTACTTTTTAATACTACTTTATTTTATAGTGTATGGTATTTATAGTAAATTAACATGCTAAGTCAGAATTTCCTAATTACTTATACCATGTTTTACCCAATTTCACTTTTCAAGCAGTTATTATCTTGGCATACATGCAATTTATGTATAGTCTGACAATATAAGTACATTGTGTGTACAGTTAGCATATACAGTATACATTTTAAGTAAATTAACTATAAATACCCTGATATGTTTGTCTATAATGATATGAAGCAATCTAATTTGAATGTAAAATATAAAAGACATTGTTTTTTAAGCCATTATGGCAGTTTATAATGGTAATAGTGTTCCAGAAGTCACTGTTTTGTATAGCCATGCTGGAAGATTGTGTAAAAGAGCAGCAAATATTCACCAATCTAGGAAATATGTTAATTATTCTGAAAATATTTTGACATTGTTTTGATCTCAAGAGTAAATCTCATACTTTTTCAAGTCAATGATAATTACAGGTAGTTTAATTTAAGAAGAAACATTTGAACTATTTCTGTTTTATATTTTTTGTTTTCATGGTCTTTCTCTTTATCTATACCAAACTCCAAAAATTTTTATTGAACTAAAATATTTTGATGGATAAAAAGTATTAGTTTTTCTTAAATCTAAAGAGTTGAGGGCTTGGTGATTAAGGCACTTGACTTGTAACCTGTGGGTCATGAGTTTGAATCCAGCCACTGAATATGCTCACTGTTTCAGTGATGGGGCATTATAATGTGATGGCTAATTTCACTTTTCATTTTGAAAAGTGTAGCCCAAGATTTGGTGGTGAGAGGTGTTGACAAGCTGTCTTCTCTCTAGTCTATCACATCTAAATTAGAGATGACTAGTGAAGATAACCCTAAAGTAGCTTTGTATAAAATTCAACAAAACCAAAAAAGTGTTCAAGTGTTTTAATAACCATGAAAATATCTAAAAACAGTAATGTAACTTTCTTTTGTTTTTTGTAGAAATTCATAGTCTCTAAGAATTGATCACCATTTTATAACTCTTGAAACTCACAAATGTAGCCAGAAAAAACTAAACGTTGTGTGGGTAATGTCATCACTCGCACACAAAGACCTTATTTCTACTCTGGCTTCTGGAAGCTTATTAACTGTTGGGAACATTGCAACCGTTGTTCAGCACATTGTGGATTACCACATGTTTACTGGGCCTCCTACTCCCGCCCTGTTAGCTGACATTTTTTTTCCTCATTTGAGAATAGCTTGAAGGTCTATTGATTTAACCTGATTTACTTTGGGAAGTGCTTTACCCTTTGAGGAATGACCTTAACCTTTCAGTCTCTTTTTGGACTTCATTCTCAGATATGTTACTTTCCTTATCTTTAACTAGTGTTTTTTAATATTGTCCGTTCTTCCCTCCATGAATCCAGTTATTGGGGTTTACTTTGTTGTTTCCTTTCTCTAACAGCTCCTCCCTCAAACTCAAATGCCTTATTCCCCTTACATTCATAACTCTTGTGGTGACTTGAAGACATTCTTTCTTTCCTCTGTAGATTCCCTGTCTTGGTATATATTTGGCCTGTTTGGGGATTGGGCCCCTTAAAATTGTCTTCTATTTTGTTCACTGGTTCCTCATTTTTCCATCTTCATCATTTTCTCACCATTCTCAGTATTTCCTCTTCTCCTTCCATTTTTTGTCTGAGGCACTTCATCATGCTCCAGAGGAGTTTTCTGTAGAAATTAATTCCTTTCTCTTTACCTGTTCCACTTCTTTTGCTCTCTACCTCCTTGCTTTATTCACCTGCTTTTGGTACTCATTGGATCAAGTTTGTTCCTCTTTACTCTACACCTTTCTCCTTTTTATGTAAATGGTCTTTGTTGGGCTTCTTTTCTGCATCCCCAATGTTTTTGATGGTGTTCATTTCTCACAGGAGACATGGACTGAAGTTTTATGACTTCAGTTTTCATTATCATCCTAGGTTTTTTTATCTTTCTTGACTTTGCCTTTTAATTCCTGTTCCCCATCTGGTTCAGTCTACTCCTAACCTTCCCATTACAGGTTCCAGGGCTACCTCTTTTACTCCTCCTACCATTATCCAATGTTTGGTTCATCACTCTTATTATTAGTGACTGTCTTTGATCCTTTTGGTATCTGTATCTTCCTTTTTTGCCTGATTTTCTGCCAACAGTGGATTTTCATTTTTCTCCTCCACATTCTCTCTTCCCACTTTCTTCACTCCTTTTAATTTCCCTTTCTCCTACCTCTGCCCCTATCTATGGTATTTTTTCATCAGGTCTGTGGTTGGCCATGGTTGATGTGTTGGACAACTTCCTTTTCATCCCTATTGACCCATCCTCCATATGTTGTCTACTTTTCATCCATTAGATCCACGTTTTCCAATTCCTACTTAGTTGGGGTGGCTTGTTAAGATATCCAAGTCCTTTTCCAGACCCACTCAATATTTGGATCTTTCTGGATGTTTTCATCATTCCCTTACCAACTTTCAACCTAGATCTATCTCTTTGATGATGCTTCCCTCTTGGATTAAGACACATCTCTTGACGATGACATGACTTCTGTCATTTGGAAGCAGAATGAGTGCTCACTCTATGTCAGTGTGATCAAACTTCTTGTTGCTTATTAGCCAATTTCCCATTTCCTGCCCCTTCTGGTGGATCAGTAAATCAAGATCCACTCTGACATATCCACAGTCATTTCTTACATCTACCATCAAGTAGGCACGTGTTCCAGAACCTTTGCTTTTGGGCATTGGACCTGCTCTTCTGGACTCATTCACATCAGGTTCATCTTGTTGCCTCTCATGTGTCTAGAGTTATTGACCTTGTGGTGGACTGGTTCTCTCGGCCAAACCATGTGCTGCTGGTGGAGTGGTCTCTTCACCCCTTGGTTTTTCGTTGGGTTTGCTCTCTGTTGGACACACCCTTCATAGATGCCTTTGCCGTCCCTCTAGACTCCAATCTTCCTCTCTTCTGGTCCCATGTTCCTCATCCTTTAGTTCTGGCTGTTGAAGCACTTACCTTTTTCTATATGCCCATCCTCCTCTTCCACTCCTCCCTTGATTCCTTTACTTAGTATGTGAAATTCTTTCTCAAATCCTGTTTTGGTGCCACCTTAGTAACTTCAGCCTTGGTGTCTTCTGCTTCTTTACTTGGCATCCAGATCCCTCTATTCATGTACCCAATGTACCCTCACTCTTGCTTCAACCTCATGTCCCTTTTTCATCAAGGGATGTCATCCATCCATCTTCATGTATGGAATTTGTCTGGTCTATCACTCTTGTGACCAAACTCTTCTATCATGTAAGCTTCTTGTCACATCTATCATTCTTTCACTTTGTCTGTCTATAAACAACAGTGGCAGTCTTTTGTAGATGATCCATTCACCACTCCTTTCCTCTTGCTGCAACTTACTGCCATTTGTAATTAGCTATTTATTGCTGGTTATTGGATGGCAGTGTCCACTACATTTTGCCTTTCTCAGTACCACAGGGGTTTTTCTGTCTCTGATCTTTCCACTCTCTTCTGCTCATTCCTTCTTCACCATCCTCCTTGCCTGACTCCCATGTCTGACTGGGTTCTTAATGTGAATTCATCGACTCCTCCAGTTGCTATATTCTTCTCTGGATGCGTATGGTCACACGCTATTTCATATTTCAGCACCTTTCTCATTCTCTTGCTTCTCATCTTTACCGACCCTAGAATGAGATCCTTCAAGCAGGCATATGAATGTTTCTGCACATGGTCGTCATTTCTTCTCTTTGCCATCTAGCTGTTTTGTCTCCAGCAGGATTTCAGCTTTAATCTACCCACTGTCTTTGAAATGAGTGTTTTCCCCTTTTCATTTCTCACCTTTTCCTTTGAAAAGGATTCTACCAAGTGGCTGGTGTTGTCTCCCAGGGTATGCATAATTTCCAAAATCCTCATTGAGCCAGGATAACAGAAAGTGCCCATTTCGAGATGGGTTGTTCCCTATGACCACTTGAGGTATCATTGTGTCATAAAAATTTACTTAATTGTCCAAACCAGACCATATCAATTCCATGGACTATCCAACATCAGAGAAATGACTACCCACTTCTTTGGCCAAAGCTTTGGCTTAATACAATAGCATGAGAAGTATGGCAGTGGTGACACTGTCAGTATAGTATGGGTCATCCAACAAATAGCTACTGGGCCCTCCTCCTGCAGGCAAAATCTATCCAGTAGAGCTGATGTGAGCATACATCTTTTGGTCTGATCGTGCTGTAACCACACTTCACATATTGGCTCACCAGCCACTTGTGCTCAGTTGGTCATGATCACATTCTATCCATCCCTGTGACACTACTTCTTGGGCAAAGAGATGTCAATTGGCAGAACGTCACACCCAAATACTGCTTTCTGAAGCAGCCAAGGCAGGATTTCTTACCAGAGCCAAGAAATCTATTCTCACTCCAACACATCATCCATCTAAGTGTCTTTTTCAACATGTATCTCAGTCTGGCTCAGCTGACTCCTATCTGACACCATGCTATGGAACAGTCAGTCCAACTCTTATGTCTCCTTCTCCAAATGCACAACTGTTTCTTTCTTTTGGGGGGATGTGGGCATTATTTGAATCCTTCATTCCTTTGGGATGAGCACACATGAAATTCCTTCACTGTTCTCTATGTGACCAATGGATCATGATTGGCAATTTACTGGATTGCCAAGTCTCCTTGTTCAGGATCAACATCTTTGATCTTGAGTGATGGTTAGATTGGGACAATCGTATGATAGGTGTTCCTCTACCACCACCACCTCGTCCAGAAATCCATCTTTTCACAGATGCCTCACTTCAGGGATGGGATGCGTATCTAAATGATCAGGAATTCCAAGGCCTATGGATAGATGATGAAGCTTCCCTCCACATCAATTGTTTAGAACTTCTTGCTGTTCAAAGGGCAATGTTTCAAGATCTGAAATAATTGAGGGGCAAAGTCGTCATGCTTCACTCCAATAATTTCACTGTGGTGTCTTACATTTCCTGCCAAGGGGGCACTCAGTCCAGGTCTCTTTTTCGAACTTTGCATCTTCTATATTGGGCCCACTCCCATCATATCATCCTACTAGCTTGCCATGTTCTGGGGGTGATGAATTTGATAGCAGATCAATTGTCTTTACCCTTCTGATTCTCCCAAAAGAATGGGTGCTTCATTGAGGGGTTTTCCATTGGATTTGCTCTCAATTCAAGAACATCAATGTTTGATGCATTTGCCACTCATTGGAACACTCAACTCTTGACATTTTTGTCAACAGTACCTCACCCTTGGACATTGGCAATAGATACATTCAGTGATGACTGGACTGGATTGCACCTATATGCCTACCCACTGATTCAATTGTTACCCAGAGTCCCAGCAATGATTCATTCAACCCCTTGTCATGTTTTCTTGGTAGCACCGGATTAACCAGCTCAATCCTGGTTTCTGCTTTTTCAGTACATTCAGAAGTGCCCACCTCTATCACTTCCTATTTGGTCTCAACAGAGACAGCCATAATCCAACATCTTACACCCATCCATCTCAAAGCTCAAGCTTCATGCATGGAGGTTGTGCGGTCCTTCACACGGCATTGGGGTTAACTTCTAAGGTTGCCATATACCTGTTTCAGTCTCTGCATCATCCCACAATGGACATTTAGCAATGCAAACAGCACACATATTGACAATGATGTATTGCGAGGAGACTGACTCCACTTTGTTCAGATGTGCCAACCATAGTTTGGTTCTTGACCTGACTTTTTGACAAGGGTTTTGCATCTTCAACAATTGCTTTATATAAGGTGGCCTTATTGGCTACCTTCAGACACTCAAGTAATGGAAATTCTTTCAGGTCCCAGTGCTCTCGAGCCTCCTCAAGTTGTTTTGGTTCCTTTGTCCCAAATGACCATTTCAGTTACCTAACCGGGATATAAATGTTACATGCTCTTTCTCAACACCCATTTGAGCTTTTAAACTTGTGTACCATATACCATCTTTCCCTTAAGGTTTATTTTTTATTGCTGCTGGCTGCTTGTCAGAGTTGTTTGTGCTGCACATGCATAAGATGCTTTATAATTCTCTTTACACCCTTCTATACTCAGAAGGTACTTCTACCTAAGACACTAAGCAAGGGAAAGGGATAAATCCTTTTTACTTCTCATAATTCCAAATGCACAGTGGTCCCATCCTGGGTACTTGGTAGAGCACAGTTTATTCCACATCCTCCCTCTAATTCCGAGGGCAAGTGAAATTTACTTTGCCCCCACAGTTGAGGAATGAGGATAAGTGTTCGTAATTACAGACCAGATGAGTTCTGTTTCTTCAGGTTGTGTATAGCATACAGGATCCTGTCATTCCGAGTTTGAAGTGTTGCCTTTTGGACTTCTTCAGGTTGAAAAGAGGGTCCACTTTGGTGTTGCTTACCTTCTCATCGTGATTCTGGTGGCTCAGAATGCATCACTCTATATCCTCAATTTGGGATCCACTCACAAGTAGATGTATTGTGGTTCAAATACCCTAGCCCCCAACATGGGATTTAGGGGCCATGGCCCTATAATTCCAGTCCCTAGCAGTGGGACCTCAGGTACCAAGTTGAAGCCTGGCCAATGGTGATGATGGGTCATATGAATTTCCACCCGCAGTGCATGATTTAGGTTCTGGTTAAAGAGCATTCCTGTTCTGGATGTAGTGCAGTTTCCCCACTAGGGTGTTAATTTTCTATTGATACACCCATGATCCATGTAGATGCTTTCTGTATGGATAATGTTCTCACTGGCACCTCCACCTTATCAATGGAGGTAAGTATGTTTTGGAAGCTAACATTTTCTTAAATAGATGTTGTATTGGCATAGATGTATAGTGTCACAAGACAGTTTTCACCAAAGGTAAATAAGTGAGGAATAAAAAACTGGAGCAAGTGGGAAAAATCAGATTAATGCTTAGATGGGCAAAGCAAAAGAAACCCTAACAGTCAAGTAATAGCTGTAGTGTGAGATAAGTATTATTGAAAATTCATTTTCAATTTAAGAAATTGCTAACTCTCCTAATATGAAAATATTTTTGATAGACCCTTACATCTACACACTTCCAACTGACCTTCCATCTTCTAGTATACCTTGTTTTTCTTGCCTTGTCTAAGAATAAAGTTTTCTTGAACATGGAGTTTGTGTTGTCATCCTACTTGCAGAGGGCTATTGTTGCATGATGACATCATGTGTTGCCACCATTCATGTTAAACACTTGAATTTAGGTGAGAGTTAGTTCTAGGTAGTGGCATGCAAATCTCATAGGCAGATGCACGAGGGAAATAGCGTTTCTGTTTACAGAGGTAAGTATCTATCGGAAATACATTTTCAGATCAGGAAAATGTTAAATTCTGCTTCTCTCCAACAACTGATATTAAGACAAAACCACATTATTGCATTTGAAACCATATAATGTTTTATTTTATTGATACAAAATGATAATGAATGTATTATATTTTTGGTGTATCTTTAACAAGTGAAGTCTGTTTTGATGTTTACAAAAATATTTTTCAGTTTTGTAATCAGCAAGTATTAGAGTTAAGATATTAACAAAAGTGTTACACAACACATCTTGTATGATTTTGCTGTTCAGTATATGTTTGGCAAATTATAAAATACATTATTTAATAAAAATATACAGTTTCATAGGCTTAGTGATACAGTATATAGTGCTACCTGTTATTCTTTGTTTTTAGGTACTTTAGCTGTGATGTACTTGATAGTTTTCACCAGTGTCAAATCTGCTGAGTGGGGAATGAATTTTGATGTATACAATTCAGCAAGTCCTAGTTTTGTACAATGTGAGTCTGGATTTTACATTTCAACAACATAATATATCATTGTTAAAGTTATTACGCATCTTTTATATACAGGATAATAAAAGTAATTTCATATTAATTACTGAAATGCCATAATGGGGAATTTCCCACACGTTTAGAGAGTGAACATTAGAAGTCTTGTAACTCTAAACCAGACTTTTTCAGTTGCATCTTTCATTAGTAGCTTTGAATTGCACCATATACTTGACTTCATTAAGTTTTAAAATCTTATGATTGTTTTAACAATTGATATTTGTAGTAGGTGCACTTTCATTGTATTATACACAGTTTTTAGCCAAACAAATATGTATGACTATGAACACCAAAACAAATATTTAATTTAAAAGAAAAACAGTATTATTAGTATTATCTACATACCAATATAACATCCATTATAATAATTAAAATCAGTTTCTAAAAATATTACAATTTTTATGATTCAGTTACAGAAAATTAATCAAAGCAGTACTATATTGAATATTTATTGTTAAAAAACAACAGTGAATGAAAAAATATAAAATATATTATTCAAAATCTAAGTATTATTCAAATAAATCAGTAGCTCTCCATTAAAAAAAAAAAGATATTTTAATGTTTTAACCCTTTCTAGACCAGAGGGATGACACTGGTATCCACAGATTTTTTCTTTCTTAAAGTGGAAATATTTAACCAAATGCATTTAACTTAGTAAGTACTTACTAAATTTTATCTAGTTCCATCTTAAAAATATCATATAACCTGATTAAATATTTCTATCAAATTTTAGGTTGTGAACTTTCCAAAATTCTTTTGTGAGATATTGTTTTAAATAAACATTAGAATACTTCCATCTTAGAATTTCAATTTTATGACTCATTGGGAAGTACCACAGAGTTAGGCATTTTGGTTTACCCCTGCTCATCTGCCTGAATAATGTTGATAGGATGTCTGAAGATTAGATTTGTGGATTTTGATTAAACTACAAACATAGTTCTAGACCTGATTAACTTTTGAAGGTCAAAAGGTCACTGGTATATAGAAAATCTTCCCCCACTTACAAGAACAGCTACTACATCATGAAACTGGGAGGACTTAAAAATTTAACATTAGTATGGGCATAGGTGTTTTATAAACACCATTTGCACTTTTTTCATTTTGATCAGAAACTTCCATTTCGATAAGGTACTCTCCCTCCTCTCACAAGATTAGCTTTCCCCTTTTTGTGCTGCCCTCTATATGCAAACTTTTTCAGAAATTAATGCCACAAGACTTCATCCTCCCTTGATTAGAATCCAAAGTTCCAACAAGTCTCTCATGCAAATCGTCATGCATCACCTCTACACCAATAGGAGAGCACTACTATCACGTGACGCCACTCCCTCTACACATCACTACTGAACTCACTTCTCATGTGACAGCTGTTGAGTTCAGACATCCTTTTTTTACATTGTTCAGTTACCTTGAAGTGGTTTATTTTTTCATTTAAAGATTTTTTCTTAACTTTATTTCTAACACTTCACAGTTGTGAAGTTAATATTTTAATAAAGCATTACATCTTCTTGTTTCCCGCTTATGAATTCCAAAGTTATAGACACCACTTTGGGTACTTTGCCAGCATCTGATGCAATATTTTCAGCCATGGGCGACTGTCAGGTGATATATCATCGCTCATATGCCAGGAGATTGAGTGGTATGTGAGCCAACCTCTCTCACCTACTTTTGCCCCACTTCCTCCTGAGCCTTTCAGGCCAGGCCAAGCTGTAGAAGATTCAGCGCATCTGTCATTGGTCTTTTGTATCTTACACCTATTTCCTATGGCCCTAGACCTTTTCTTTTACATGAAACTTCCTGACCCTATTTAGTCTTTCCCCCATCTCCCAATATTAGAGTTCACGCTGACCAACTTTCCTCTCAACTGGGGGTGGGTGGAAGTATGCCTCGTACCCCATGGACTTCAGATCAGTCTGCCCTTGCTTTATCATCAGGTGGACTTTCCTTTTCTTGAATAACAGTTGTTTGGTGGTGAACTCCAATTACCTGTCCAACTTACCCAAGCCCCATTTTCTCACCTTTCTCACCCTCACAACCCTGGTAAGGTACCTTTCTTCCCTTCACCTTCTGTCAGAGGCTCTTCATAGGAACCCTGAGGGGGTTTTCTGCTGAAAGCTTCTTCATTCTTAATTCTATGTTGGTTTGTCTGTCTTCTTTGGCTCTCGTGCTTCAAACATGATTTGTTTGTTGTTGGGACCCTTTGGGCTGAGGTTTTGGCATGAACCCATCTCGAGGCTCCTTATCTGAGGGACCATGGCATGGTGCCATTTTTTCAACATTATATGTTTGAGTCTTTGGAAACGCGGATAGTCTCGGCCCATCAACATTCTACTTTTACTAGCTTGGTAACTCATTTGTCGCAGTTGGCACTGAGCGCAGCACCGATTCCTGTCCTCCAACCTACCCCTTCACAACCTCTTCCTGTCCCACCCACCTGTGATGCTACAGTTTGATGATGCACGATCCACCAACAGCCGTAACAGGAATTATGTGGTCTGTTTGGGCCCTGTGGGACCTTTTCTCACTGATGTCTGGGTTCACAAGGTGCTCTTGGAGGGATTCGTTAACCCCCTTCCTCCATTATCCAGTGTTTCCTTCCCTTCTCCTCATGATCCCTCGACATGCCAGCATCTGTCAGAGGCAGTTCAGGACATCATTGCACAACACATTATTAAACCAGCTTATCAGGTTCACAGGGGTTTTACTCCTACCTGTTTGTGGGGGCTGGCATCCTGTCGTCGATTTATCCTGTCTCAATCAGTATGTTTATACTACTCACTTTACCATGGAGACATACCTTTCTCTTTGGTGGGCATTTTCTCCAGGTCTTTGGATGACCAAGGTGGACATTTCCAATGCTTACCTACACATTCCTGTGGTGGAGCATTCTCGTCCATATCTTTGGTTTTTCCATTGGGGGGTCATGTACCACTTTTGCCTCAGCACCATATGGGTTTTGTTGTGTGGTCTGCACCTTTGCTCGACATATTCATGCTATGGGATTGTGCTTCCATGTTTATATAAACGACTGGCTTCTTCTTGCTCATTACAAACGGGAATCGGCCTGTAACACTTGTCAGCTCCTGGCCAAAGCTGTGCAGGTGGGCTGGTTGGTCAAATTGAAGAAGTCTTTTCTTTGTCCTATCCATTAACTTATCCATTTGGGTATTTTCTTCAACTTCCATCTCAATCAAGCCCAACCTTTTCCTCTTTGGCTCCATTCTATAGCATGGGCCATTCGAAAAACCCTTTATGTTCCCTCACTTACAGCTTGCGAGTGACTATCACTTTTTGGAATGTGGTCGTCCATGATCCCTGTCATACCTTTTTGCAGTGCTCATTTGTGGTTTCTTCATTGGATACTTGCAAGGGAGCCCTTGGAGACTTCTATATCCCTTCCCTCATCCCTTGTGGACAATCTCCATTGATGGTTCAACAAAGCCCACACGTCGGTAGGGGTCCCACTTCCTCCTCTGTGGCCAGAATTACATCTGTTCACAGATGCATTCTTTCAGGGCTGGGTGGATCACCAGAAGGTTTCGGGTCATTGGTCTGTGGATGAGAGTTCTCTTCTCAAACTCCTGGTTGCTCATCAGGCTTTGGATCAATTTCTTTCTCTTGCCAGCTACCGACTGGTTATGATCCATTACAACAATTCTACCAACGTGGCACCAGATCCAGATCCCTATCTATTCACACTATTGATCTTTTTTGAGCCAACAAACATGACATTCGTTTGATGGCATGTCATATACTGGGTGCTTTCAATCTCGTTGCCAACTGGATCTAGTTTATCCCATTGAGTGGTCCCTGCCATTTTTTTGGTGGCCACTGCTCTCAATCACAAATTACTTTGGTTTTGGTCCCCGGTCCCCCATCGTTGAGTCTTGGCTGTCGATGCCATCAGCCAGGATTTGTCTCATCTGGTGCTTTATCTTTACTCCCCATTCGTTTACTTTATTGGATGGTCTCCCTCATACATGTCACTCCATGCACAGTCTTTCTGATTGCTCCTTACTGGCCTGCTTAACCTTGGTTTCCTTGATTTCTCTAACTGTAGTAGGTCACTCCCCTTCCACTTCACTTCTGTCCTGACTTGCTCTGTCAACTACAGTCAATGGTGCTCCATCCCTCCCTGTCTGTCCTCCATCTTCATGCCTGGCTTTTGCCAGGTCCTTGGCAAGGAGCTCCAGTTTCTCTCACAGAGTAACTTCACATTTAGCTCATTCCATTTGCTCTTCTTCTTTGGCCATCTACCAATGCAAGTGGAGCATTTATCGCTCCTAGACATTGACTCGGGGTTTTCAGGCTTCTCACCCAATAGTTGCCTGTATCTCTAAGTTTCTCATGCAGCTCTTTGACAGGGGGTTCTTCGGTCTCCTCGATTTCCAGGTTTCAGATGCCGTTATCCCATACATAACGTTTTTCATGCTTCTGCAGTGTCTTTGCTTCTCCTGTCCTTTCCATGTTGATCTGTTCCTTCCAGCTCTGTATGCCTCTGAGGTGTTAGTAGTTTCATTAGTTAGTTACATTAACGTGGTCCTTCATGCCCGCACTTTACCTCCATTTGAACCTCTGTCTATGTGTTCCCTGTTTTACCTCTCTTTGAAGGTGTATTTCCTCCTTCTTTTGGCCAGTGGGCATCGTAGGTCAGATATTTTTGCCCTCGACGTTATCAGGACCTTCTACCACTCCCCTTACCTCATCCTTTATCTGGATTGTGCTTTCCTTCCCAAGAACTCTGTGACTCGATAAGCTAAGTCATCTTTTTCCCCTATCTTTCTATCCTCTATATCTCATCTCTACCCCATCCTTTTCCGGATAGACTACTCTATCCTGTCCGTGCCTTTCTGGTGTCCTTGTTTCCGCATTTTTATGCCTTGGCAACTTTTCTCTTCCCGTGATCTTTTCCCAATTAACCTGACCAGTTGGGTTAAATGTTTGATCCAGTT